TGCCAGAAATAGGGCCGCCACGTTCTCCGCTTTCTTTCTCGGTCGTGCTGCCTCCCCGTGCCCAGCGAGCAGCTCTTCATGGAGATGGCTGATGTGATGGTTGCCGAGGGCTGGAGGGATGCAGGCTACGAGTTCGTCTGCATCGATGACTGCTGGATGGCCCCGAGCCGGGATGAACACGGCAGGCTCCAGGCTGACCCAAAACGGTTCCCCCGCGGGATCCGCAAGCTGGCCGACTACGGGAGAGCTGCCCACCGTGGCACAGGGGGGTGATGGCAGTCGGGGACCTGAGCCGCAGCCATGCTGGGAGCAGGGGAAGAGAGGGCTCTGTAGCTCAGAAGCTGTAAGGCCCTGCCTGCCGGAGTGGGGTTTTGCTTCCCTTGCTGGCCCAGCTCCACTTCCACCAGCCTCGCAGCTGCCCCATCCCCAGTGCTCTTTCTGCACAGGTCCACGCCAAGAAGCTGAAGCTGGGGATCTACAGTGATGTTGGGAACAAGACGTGTGCTGGCTTCCCTGGCAGTTACAACCACTATGATCTGGATGCCCAAACATTCGCCTCCTGGGGCGTGGACCTGCTGAAGTTTGACGGCTGCAACACTGGCACACTGGAGCTGCTGGCAGAAGGTATGTGTGGGCTTGAGGCAGCACTGCACTATAGAGTGGGAATATTCTGCAGGCAGCAGCAATTCTAGGCCCAGGATGGGCACTAGGGCTTTTCCATGAGCTTACTTGTTTAAGGGATTTGCTTACAGAAGCAGGTATGAGACTGTTCCCAAGCCCAAGGTAGTGAGCATTACTGGCCCAAGTGTTTTTTACCAGTTCAGCCTCCTGGAGCTTTCAGTGGTATGCATAGCTTGAAAAAGCAGCTTTCTCACACCAGAGACTGCACCATGCTGAGAAGGAAAACATCAGCTGCATACTCTGGGGGCTCTCTGTTCAGACTGGTGCCTCAGCTCTTAACACAGCAGAGACTTTGCCCTTCTGCAGTGCCACTACTAGAGAGCTCAAAGCATTTTCACACACTTAACCTTTAATTCCTTTGGTGAGGCCCTGTCAGCGCGGCTCAGCTTGAAGATAGAACAGCTTGTGTCAGACGTAAAAAGGACAGTTATCAGGGCTTTTAACTGAAAAAAATGAGGGGAATTATGGCATGAAAATCCTACTGGGGCTTTCACTTTAAAGCATGCCAGTATAAATCCCAGTTCAGAAGTTATTTGCACACAGGCAAAGGTGGTTTTCTCTTGACTGGGCTCTTGCTGCCGGCATAGTCAGCCCCATGGCATTTGTCAGCAGAAATCCTGCACGCAGTCCTGGTTCTCCCTGTCAGGGAGAACGTGCTCTAGTAACAATCCCACTGAAGCCAGTTGGTGGGGCATATGCCAGCTGTCACAGCCAGGAGCACAGCTCAGCGCCGTAAATGACAGCTGAGCTTAAAGCTCTTATTGGGTCATATGTATAACCCAGACAAAAATCCAGGTGTATTGTAGCAGTTCCAGGGGAGAGAGCAAATTTCATTTCCTCTTTGCTGATCAAAAGGGACTTAACAGGGCTGTCTGGGGACGAAGACAGGAAAAAGCTTTTGCATTCCTGTTGAGTCCATATGGTGCAAAGGCCCCATAAGAACATAACTCCTGCAACAATACCCAGCGAAGCTGTACCCAGCAGCTTGATATTCCAGCTGTTATTTCACAGATATCTAGAGGGGAAAAATGCCACACAGCAAAACTGCAGCCTCTTCCCATGGCTGTATGTACAAAGAGATTAGCAGTCTTGGAGCAGTAAGCTTGCCCATGACCTGTAGCAAAGCTGTGAAGAAGCTCACCTATCTTTGGGAGGCAGGAGCCTGGCTACAGACTATAAGCTCCCCTGTCCTCCTAGTGATGTTTCAGCTGCCATAGTGTGTTCAGCCTTGATTTTGTAAGAGTTGAACTGAAACCTGAACCTGTGACATTGTATTAGTTCCTCTGTTTGACCAAAGACATTGTGTAACCTCTGTCCTCTTTCTTTAGGTTACAGGCATATGTCTCTGGCCCTGAACAAGACTGGAAGGAGTATTGTGTACTCCTGTGAGTGGCCTTTTTACTTGAGGCCCATGCAGCAGGTAAGGAGTGTTTCTCAAGGCTTATCCTGGGGCTGAAAGTGGGAAGAACAGAAAAGCATTAATACTGCGAAACAGCCTCCTGAGAAACTTGCTGCTCTCTGGTCTGACAGAGAACAAGACTTTAAGGTGAAGGAAAACCACTTTTTCCTCAAATGCTGAAGTATACCTGAGGCAAGTCATTACTCTCCTGAAAAGAATTCAGTAGGATCCTGCAGCATGAAGGTACAGCCCAGCTGGAGCATGCCAGAGAACACCGCTGCATCCATCTGCTTTCTGTCTCCGAGGAACCAAGCCACAAAACATTGGCAGTGCAGCCACATAGCTAGCAGATAGTTTGGTGTTATTCCTCCTGGATGGAGAGTGCTGCAGACTCAGCCTTAGTCTCCTCTAGGGACCAGGAGAGAGGCTTTAGGACAGCCTCTTTAATAGGAATTTTCCACCTTGTTTACCAACAGATTTCTACCAGCCAGGGTCCCTGACTGGCATGTTGCTCTCAATCCATAGCTGGCTTCCCCTGTGCTACCATGACAGGATGCTGCCATTCCCTCCCACTGGGAGTTAAATGCATTAGTCACCTAAGAGTGTAAACCCAGTAAATGACAGTAATTACTGGGATGTCACAGTTTAATCCCACTGGCCCTGTCACACCTTCAGTAAAGTAGCGATCAAAGGAATTTTGTAACAGAGCTAGGTGGCCACAACTATTCTCTCAAGGGAAGCAGTAGTATTGTCTGGAGCGTGGCCGACTCGGGTTACTGGGCACAAGGTGTCCTAGGGAACCAACACAAAGTCACCCAGATAGCAGGTGATGAAAGCTGTTACCATAGTTCTCCCACAATTATCTCTGATCCAGTCTAGCCTTGTGTACAGTCTTGTTCTTGTACAGACTCTCTGGCTAATCAAACTCATTGTTTTGGCAGCCCAATTACACAGAGATCAAACAGTACTGCAATCACTGGAGGAACTTTTATGATGTCTATGACTCCTGGAGAAGCATCAAGAGTATCTTGGACTGGACAGCACTTCACCAGGACAGCATTGTGAAGATCGCTGGGCCTGGGGGCTGGAATGATCCTGACATGGCAAGTAGAGCAACGCCCACCTCCCTTGCAGTACCAGCAAAAAATCCTTTCCTTGGCTGTAGGCTGAGAAGGATGAGGAGGGAGAGAATTGGTGGGAGGAAACATTGAGGGGAAGGGGAAGAGAACTACAGCTGTGGGCAGTACCGAGGAAGCATGGTCTCTGTGTAATGCATCCTCTACAAGCAGTGCCTGTTCAGAACACAGGCATGGCAGTGGGAGACAGTCTCCAAAGTGCTGATCTCCCACCAGAGGGAAAACCCCTGGGTGCCAGGCTGGGTGCCAGCATTGCAAGGAAGGAATAGGCTGCATCCAAAAGCAGATTCTTAAATGCTGTCTATCCAGATCCTTCTTTACCTTCACCAATGGCTCATCCTAAATTGGCACACTAGTTACGACTTGCCTTTCCCAACCAGCTGGTACTGCTCCTGGTACTCAGCCTATCTAATCAGTCCCCAATTAGGGATCCCACCCTTGGCATCCTGTCATTTACTCAGGTTGGTGGCCCGGTTTCTCCTTGGCAGGCAGGATTACCAGGCTTGTTTTCCTGTCACAGCTGGTGATTGGAAACTTTGGGCTGAGCTGGGACCAGGCGGTGACTCAGATGGCAATGTGGGCTATTATGGCAGCTCCCCTCTTCATGTCCAATGACCTGCGGCACATTAGTCCTGAGGCCAAGTGGCTGCTCCAGAACAAAGAGGTGATCGCCATCAACCAGGACCCACTGGGCAAACAAGGATACCAGATCACCAAGGTACGGCAGGACCAGGCTGGGGGTGCAGTGTGGGGCACAGGCAGCAAGCCTCCTCAGAAAGGGGACACTGCGGACACACAGAGTATAGAGTGCTCAGGGTTTGGGAAGAAAAGCCCACTGAGCCCACTTAAACAGACAGGCATGAAGACCATCAGTTCTGCCCTAATATAAGCCCTGATTTTATTTTCTCCTCAGCAGGACAAGAACTTTGAGCTGTGGGAGCGGCCCCTGTCTGGCCAAGCCTACGCTGTGGCAGTGCTGAACCAGCAGGAGATTGGGGGACCCCAGAACTTTACCTTCCCCCTCACCTTCCTCGGCAATGGGCTGGCCTGCAACCCAGCATGCTCCATCCGGCAGGTCCTGCCAGCCAGCAGGGACTGGGGCGTTTACAGCTGGGTCTCCTCCCTGAGTGTGGAGGTGAACCCAACGGGCACCGTGCTGCTGAAAGTAGTGGCACTATAGGAAGCACAGAGACAGCCTCTGAATGTCTAAAACTTGTCACAAATAGCCTGCTCCTTTCTTCCAAGCAGGTTGCCTTTGTTATCTCAGGCATTCACTACTTGAGTGCTTCTAACCTGGACTTGAAACCTTCAGCCTAATGTGACAAACACCCATCACTCCATCACCAAGAGACAACAGAGAAAGGGGTGCTGCTTCTCTTCTGTTTACCCTTTCTCTGGCATCTCGCCTAACTCCTTCTCCAAGGGGCTGGAAGGTCCCCAGCAGGGCAGCTGTTAATGCCTACAGCTGCTATCAACCAAAGAAATGCAAAGGATACATGCAGCACCTTACAGCTCTCCTCAAGCACTTCAGGCCCAATAGGGAAACACTCTGGCTGCCTTGCTCTTGCTTTTCCAGGCCAGGACACACCATCCTAGAACAAGAAAAGCTACTCGTATGCCTGCTGAAGAAACGCAAAAGTCCACAGAGCATGGGTATCTACTTCCACCTTCTGACAACTCAGGGACTGGCCTGAATCAGTTCAGCACTTCTTAGCAACTACTTTCTTAACAGCTGCCCGGCTAGTATAGAGGTGATTATCATAGCTTAGGACTCAGCCTTTAGAGGGTTTCTCCTTATCCTCTCACCAGTGGCTGTCACTTCACTTTAGATGACAACTCCCTCTCTACTCTTCATGGGGCCACTGGGGTCCCCTTCCTCAGTGAGCTGCCTTCCAGAAATACCTGTGTGCTTGCTTTCCACTGCTGGCAGTAGCCTTTAGGTTGAATAACACAGGTCCTTCTGAGATAGGCACTTAAGTACTTATGCAACCATCATGTAGAAGTTGTGTTCTGACTACTACACAATCAAGATATCTTGATTTGTTCTTATTTCTGTGATTAAACACTTCAATTAAAAAAGGCTTTTTCTTAGTTCCACTGCACAGGTGTACAGCATGGTACCTGAAATTAAGTCAGCCTTTAGAAAACAGGCCTGTTTGTTCCAGTCACTAAGTTCTAGTGAAATTTGTCATGATTACTAGAAACAGCACTCTAATAAAGCTGACACAATGAAGCCATACAGTCCATTGTGCAGGCAGAGGCCAAAGCCAGTGTGGCTAACAGCTTAAGCAGCAGGAGTTTGAAATCGCCAGTCCCATCAGCCAGTACTGAACAAGTAAAAATACAGATGCTGTTACTGTTCATGAACAGCTCTCAGCCTCTATGATGTGAAGAGGCACGTCTCCATCTTGCAGTTCTATTTCCACTACAAGAAAGCTAAGAGCTGTGCATTGTGCTCCCAGTACCTGCCAACAGCAGACTTTGTACTGGCAGGCAGCACAGTGCTGCCCCAAGTGGGTGATCCCCTCAAAGCCCCGGGAGGCTGTCCTGGCATGTAGTACGCTCTTGGTAGTTGCTTATCAGTCACCACTCATTTGAAAATTTAGTGCTGTGCTCCTGCTTTTTCTTTTATAGAAAATTCTAAGCAGAGGTGCCAAGAGCAGTCAGACACAGGGCAGGCAGCTGGGACCTGTCACACAATCACTCTCAGCGTGACAGCACGCAGGTGGGGGAACCATGGGGGTGCAGCTGTCCCACTGTCTCCGAGCTACTGTACCACAGCGACTGCATACAGGTATAGCTGAGCCACGGAACACAACTGCTGCCATGTGCAGGCGATGCTTCATCAAATAAAGCCCCTGCTACTAAAGCTGCTGGCTGCTCCAGGGCCTTCGGCCATGCATTGCCCCTCAGAGCAGTACAGCTGTTCCTGTTTGTGAAGAGGGGCCTACAGCCAAGGGCAGGGGCTGCTGCGGAGAATTTGGATTACTCTAGTCCCTACTGTGTTGAAACCATTGCTGGGTACATGGAATCTTACCTGCCTCTCCTCTCAGGGAAGGGCTTGGAGAGGAAAAAGGCCTACTCAGGCAGCTCTGCTTTTTTTTTCTTTTTTCCCAATCACTACTCATCTACCAACAATTCAAATTCACTGCACCATTCCTGAAATGGAACTGCTGTAATAGAGATATGAACTGTTTTAAATGAAACAAGCTGCAGGAGTTTAGAGGAGGCCCTTTTGAAGATATGTAGAAGCTGATAAATAAGCCTGGAGAAAAGCAGCAGCATAATGCTCACACAGAAAAGCCACTGGTACAAAAATCCATCAGAGCCTCAGGCTCTACATATATTCTAAAACACTGCCCAGTAACACAGTAAGGAGATCCCAGCCATTGACAGGTCTTTTTCAAAGGCCTTCAGATTACAAACTGTTAATTTACTAAGCAGCTCTGCAAGCAACACCTTCCTGTTGTGTTGATGTACTTGCAAGTCCCACCCCACCAATGAGCGAAGATACAGAAAAACAAGCAATGATCATTTCCAAATACTTTAATATGGTCCATAACAAGAGTAGGATGGAGCTTAGAACTGGATCACCTGGCCCTGTAAGACAGAAGAGACAAGAGTTTATTCACCACTGAATGTCACCACCCTTCCTCAGCACTCTTGGTACACAAACATACCTTTCTCTTCTTGTCTCCTCCCAGTTCAAAGTGCTTGCACCTCTTAATTGCCAGCATCCTCTTGGACCTGCAGTTGGGCTCCACGCACTCCAGCCTCAGCACAATCTTCTTTGTGGTCTTCGCCTGGGAGAAGAGCAGAGCATTATCAGTGAACAAAATGTCCACAAGCAGACAAATTGCCGCTCTCAGGAAAAGCTTGTTACCTGCACTCCTGAAGATTCTGCAGATTCTTTTCAAAGTGTAAAGGAAAAGACTATGAACACAGTTAGGCCCCCTCCATTAAAAGCAAGAAGGCACCTAAGGACCAGTGCAGGAGTAGGGTGGATCTGTGCCTTCACAACAAAGGACACAGGCAAAAGCATTCAGTGGGGCAAGGCTGGTTCCCTGCAGGGATGAGCCACACTGGAACAAAGTCTGTGCCAGTGAACGCACTAAGGAACAGGTACTTCTGCAGTGTGGGAGAACACGCTGACAGTGCTCAGGAGGATTTCAGCAGAACACCAGGCAGAAGAAACACCTGAAAGGAGCACAGCTGACAAACCTTTCTCAGAAGGAGCAGTGACACAATGTGCTCGATGCAGACCCACAGCTACTGAGAAGTTAGATGAAACCCAAACTACAAAGGCAAGAATACAAAGCTGCGAGGCTACTGTAGCCACTGGGCAGAGCTGTAACCACCTGTTATAAGCCTCATCCATTCATCCATATATTGCTGACTGAGAACAAACCATAATGGGGATGGCAGCGTACACACACGTGGACGCTGCCAAACTGCAAGAACAGCACAGCTCCTTTGGGTACCCTGCTTGGAGAAGTGTTTTCTGCAAGGTCTCCCCACTTCCTGGCAGAAAGTCCACTTGAAAAACTGCTCATTTTTTTCTTCTTGCTTGAAGACTTCCTGAACATCTCCAGCAGAACACCAGGGCTTTCCAGCAACGAGACAAGTAGCTCTATAAGCGTAACTAAACAGTTCACACAGAAACTATAACAAATCAGCCCATCGGGTTTTGCTTCCCTGCTGTAAGTATCACAGATTTTGCCCCCCTGCCCCCAACTCCTTGGCTGGAGGTACACAGAGGCACAGAGGGAAAACATGCTGCAAGACTACAGTCCCAGGTACCCACATTGAAGAGGAAGGATGACAGCAGCAGGTTTCTGCAACTCATCTGTAAGAGAATGCACTGCTGCCCTTCCACTGCTGCTTTGAGACTCTCACGAAAGGCCTAACGCAGCAGCTCTCACTGTCTCACCAATATGGGTTTCCACAGAGACAGCCGACTACAAGAAAATGATGTCATGTTCTGTGGTACACCCAGGAGCTGCACAGGCTTCACTTGTATCATACCCTTATCAGTGGAGTCAGCATCACTATGCAGAGAGCCTCCAAACCCAGCACAAAGTTTCAGTGATAAACTACTGACACTTCAAGAACGTAAGGAAAGCAAGCAGCAGGCTCCCCTTCCCTTCACCGTACTCTTCCTCTTTGGCAAGCAATGACAAAAACACTCCTTTCATTAAAAGCATCACTTCCAATAAAACCCTGCTGCCCTGCATCATCAAGGCTGCCTGCAGAACCTGCTCTGCAAACACACGCTATGTTGCTCTTGCTATGTCACTCCTGCAAAGAAAGGAGCATCAATATGAGAAAGAAGCATCAGGGAAGATGAGCACAGGTGGACAGGGAGCTTACACTCCCCCCCGGACAGCACTACAGCAGGAAAGATGAGCACAGGTGGACAGGCAGCTTACACTCCCCCCCGGACAGCACTACCAGCACAGAGCTGCCGTAACATGGCTTAAGCACAAGACCACCGCAAGGCTGCAGGAGGCTGAAATGTCCTTCAGCTGGGCATGTGGATTGCCAAGAGAGTTTCAGGAGCAGCACTCACCTTCTTACGGAAGATGGGCTTTGTCTGGCCTCCATAGCCACTTTGCTTCCTATCGTAGCGTCTTTTTCCTACAGGAGGAAATGGTTCTGTTTAGGCGACACCTCACTACCCAGAAGTAATCCCCCTTCTCCCACAGCCGCATGCTCAGCCCACAGCCATCC